CACTCAAAGGAATTTTTCCTACACATCCCTCAATATACTGATACTGATATTCATAAAAAGCTGCCTACTAAACTCTGAAAAGTAGACGACAAAGTCAGCTGTAACGTGGCAGCCCTAGATGAAGGCTAGCATGAACCTTGTACCAAAGGCTGCTAAAAGTTACATTTACTGTCCACTACAGCACTGGAAAACCCCATCTCTCTGTAATACGAGACCGGTGGTAATAGGGGATAAATGGGCGGGGCATATCAGGGAAATAAAAAAATAATTTAAAAAGTAGAGCGTATAAAAGCAGAAAATAACAGGAATAATCATTTAAATAACCAAAAATTTGCGCGCGATAAGTAAAATAATTAATACAATCAGTAGGGAACAAGAAGGCTCAATAGCGCCTACTTGGATACAATCGGCGACGCTATGTCAACTATATTTTTCCTCCATTTTTTAAATTCACAAAAAACTTCTAAGCCAAGAAGCACGCACATGTCGCCAAAAAGGATACAAAATTGAACTAAAATTAAGCTAACTATAAACAAACTAAACGAAAAACAAAAGTAAACGAAGACTAAACTAATACCATAATTCGACAAAACATGCCTACTGCTACAAAATAAGTAGACAGTGATGTGAAAAATAAGCTATAGTGAGCCTTAGATGTAACTGTCACTCAAACGTAGGCACGTGCTTGTCACAGAGGCACTTTTCACAGCAGTTTGGAATGGCGAACGTTCTCGGTGAGCCTATTTTGGGAATGTTAATAAAAGCGAGAAAATAAAAAATAACGGAAACTGGCATTTATCGGCAGAAGATTACCGGTTGATGAAATTCCCCAGATTGTTCAGAAGCTCAGAATTATTTTTAGTCGCGAAGTCTTCCCATGAGAAAGTGCTATCCTTAAAGACAAAAGGCAAATAGAAGAAAGGACATTTGTGGGGAAAAAACATATTTTAAGCATATAGAATCCCGTGGGATAAAACGGAGCTCCTCAGAGCAGAATGCAGTTCATGGGATCTTACCTGGTTTTCGGGGCGAATATAAGCCAGATAGAAACGCCAAATGTTTGAGTCTATGCCAGTTTCTTTGGCATTGTCCCCAAACACGCCAACACTACGGCTCTTGGAGAATTTCTTCCCCTCGTAGTTGAGGTAGTCTAGAATTAAGCGGAATAAATCATTTCAGATCTTTACAAAGAAATACGTCCTCCTCCTCCTTTACCTGCTGTAGTAATTTAGCCACAAGCCGTCGATGTAAAAAAAAAATTTAACTTGACTGTTAAGGGTCATAACTGTCTGTAAAATCGCTGTACAGCAAACCTTATCTCAGGGGAATAAGTAAAAAACTGAAGATTCACTGCAGAAGGTAACATAGGACAGTCATGGAGGGAATCAAAAAGGAAACAAATTTCGCTCCTCCAACTCCACGGAATGACAAAACTGACCGACAGCAATGAGGTTCTTCACCATAGTGTAACCTTCATTGACACCCAGCAAGCAGGCGGGGAAGATGGATGCGTGGAAGGGAACGTTATCCTTAGCCATAAACTGGAAGTACTCAACGGGGGCAATGTCAGTCGGAGGCTGCCACCATAAACGCCAGTCGGGGGTGTAGTTGGCTGTGATTGAGAGATAACCCATGGGAGCATCAAACCACACGTAGAAAACCTATAAATATAAACTTCCAGTCAAGGAAAGGGTAGTAATACCGAAGGATTCACAGTATAACTGGAATGTAGCTCTTCAAATATTTTGTAGTCTAGAAAGATTGCGTGAATTTCTATTCTACAGATTCTCCGAAGAGGAAGTCATAAACACAGAAACAATGGTTGGTAAACAGCTACACAAGATAAGGAAGCAGACACCTTCTCTGATAATGTCCATGGTAGAACAGCAGTTGGGGATTATAGCAACAGAAACGGCCCTAACATCGAAAAAACTCTCGAGCGGCTGGTCTTCAGCCCGTCTCCGAAGTTCTGAGCCAGAAACGTCGAAGAAACTTTCTTCACCATCAAAAGTGCAGGCTTTTAAGGCACTGTTGAATTCCATCTTTCCCGACGTCAAGTTTACTGTGCAAGAAGAGGTCGACAATCCGTTGCCGTTCTCCGACGTACAAGTGACAAATCTGGCAGGCGGAAAGGGAAGGAGAACAGGCTGCCGTAGGAGAACTAACACCATGCGCATCTTTAACTTTAGAAGTGACCATCCGATTGGTCACAAACGCAGTCGTGTCAGAACCTTCTTCCAACGGGTTCAAAAACACTACAGCGACGACAGTGAAGAAATTAAGTACTTGCATACCCTATTTAAAACCAACGGTTATTCAAAGTCCTTCTCACGCAATCATCTTAAGAAGCCCCATCTTGAGCGGTCGAAAGGAGAAGGCCCAAATGTCTGGCTCGCAAACTCTTAGAGTATGAATACTAAAACTGTTCGGGATCGGTGTGGCCCATATGCCAGAGTCAACAATCAGGCAACAAATCATGGAGCTCAAAGGCCCGCTGCTATTGACAGAACAATCAGCAGTGGTCTATAGGATACGATGCCAAAACCGCGATGCGAGGCATGTTGGTGAAACCAGCAAACAATTTAGCACAAGTTTGCATAAACAGCAGTTCGAAATCAACCGCGAGGATAACCTGCCTATGGTAATGGCCACGTGCAACAGAAAAGCCAGTTCCACCTTTGATACGGCGAGGGTGATAGGTTGAGCCAATGATAAGTTGGTCAGACTACTGCTGGAAAGTTGGTCCTTGTCTGGCATGCTTAACAGCGTCATAGACGTGCATCTCTCCTACAAGGCGCCACGCATACGGCTTACGTCAATGCAAGCACGGCCAACAGGACTGTCAAGTAAACTCACGCGTGGCAGACAGCTTATGTCAGATACAAAAACGAGAAGAACCGCTGGGAGGCCACGTGATCAGCGTGGAACACCATCTCACCGCTGCGCTCATGAGACTGAAATCAACTCACGCGGACACCAACAATTGAAAATCCCGTTGGCTGA